CATCTCTTCCAAGAGGCCCTCAATTACCAATCAGTTCTTTCAGCAACCCTTGAGATAGGCAGGGGCTCTGGGTAGGGCCAATCTTCCCCTTTTATAAAGCAAGAGACTGAGGTCCAGAGAGGGGAAGGAACATGCCCGTGGAACAGCTGGAGAGCTCTGCTGGCAGCCCCAGTCCCAGCCCCATCATGCACTGGACCCTGGATATCATCAACTCAGCTCATGGCTATTTCCTGGCCATGAATTTGTTCATGAGTCTTGTCCTTGGCTGTGCTCACCTTCCCCTGTCACTTTCCCATCCCTCCTCTACCCCTCTGCTGTCCTTGCACAGACTAAGCCATACCAATGGGCAGAGTACACCGGCCTGAGGCATTTAGCTCCTCCAGCAAGATGGTCATGATGGGCACCAACTTCTGCTTGCTTTCCTCCGTTGACACGAAGCTGCTCTCTAGCTGGATGGAGCATGGATAGCATGGTGGGCACACCCCAGGACCCCTGGCTGGCATCCTGCCCTGGCAGGTTCCTAGGTCTGGAGGGCTTTGGAGACAATGTGAATACCTTCCCCAACACTGCCTGCCCATCCACCCAAGCCCATCGTGTTGCAGACCTCTAGTGTGGTCAGGTAGCCAGCCAGTTTTTTGACGATGGGCTCAAGGGCACAGGTCTTGGCCTGGGCATCACACACAAAGCCCAGGTTGAAGAGCAGGGCATTGCGGCTGTACTTCTTGTGCTCGATGCACACAGGGCAGCCGATCAGTTTCTTCTCCATGGCTGTGCTAGAGAGGGGAACAGAGGGGAACAGTCAGGCTCCTCCCACTCCCAAGCCTGTCTCCTCCTCCCGGGAACCCCCAGCTAGGGCCTCACACGGTGATGAGCTTGTTCTGCAGCTCTGGCTTGGTGATGATGTACACCTGGACCGTGTCGAACAGCTCCCGGGAGATGAAGTCCTCGGGAACCTAGGAAGGGAAGTGGGAAAAGGCTCCCCAGTGGACCTTGGTACTGGGCAGAGGAAACAGGACATCCCCCAAGACCTAAGCCCTCTTCTCTAGCGTTTCTCCTCTCTCCCATCCACCCAGGCCTCCTACTCCTCTGTTTCCAAGCAAACGCCGTGTGCTCACTTGCCTCCTGGATTTTGCACATGCTGTTCCCTCTAACTGGCACACTCTCTCCTCGCTTATCTAAATTCCTATGCATCTAGGGATACTAATGGACCACCCATCCCCACCTCTCGTGGGACCTGGCACCTCTCCTGGGTCCCCATAGCCCGAATTCCCAATCCCTGCCTATTTGATGCTTGTGTGCTCCGCCACGCCGGGGGCCTGGGACCTGGGTCTGAGGACCCTCTCGGAGCAGCGGGCCTGCGCGCAGCGCGGGGACGGGGCTGCACCGCTTCCAGACGGTGGGCTGAGCTCTCGAGAGCGTCCGTATTTCCCCACCAACCCCGCGAACCCAGTGGCACCTGATAGGTGATCTTGGGTCCCAGCGTGGGGTGGAACTCGCTGAAGAAGATGCATTCGATGCGGCAGCCGCTGCCCATGGCGCTCGCAGGACCGGGGTCCTCTGGGAACACCTTTCAGAAAAAGCTCCCAGGCCTCCGCCGGGGCGTCGAGCACGCCTGCGCACTCACACACCCGCGCGGACCGCTGCTCAATGGCGCCTGCGCAGAGCGGCTCGGAGGCGTGGCTGCGGAGGGGGCTCGTCCCAGGAAGTCCCAGGTGGGGAGTCGGCACACCCGGAAGTGAAGCGGAACCGCTACGGAGCAGCGGCTTGTGCGGCAGGGTCCGGCGTATTCCGCCTTCTCGGGAGGAAACCACCGCGTCGGGTCGGCGCTGCGGGTGAGGCAGACGAGTCCCTAGCGTGGAGGGGCAGCATGCCTGCGGCACGTGACGGAGGCTGCTCGCAAAAAGAATTCAGGCTGCAATTTGGTCGCAGCTGGGAACTACAATTCCCGTGGTGCTTCATGCCCTATCAGCGGGCGCTCCCGCCTTGCGACGGCGCGGTGCACGCTGGGATTTGTAGTCTATTACACGGCTTTGCGCATCCCACCTGGAAGGTGGGCCAATGATCAGTGCCGGTTCTGATGCAGGTACATGCGGACACGCCGCCGGTCCTCACTCCTTGGAAGAGAGTGGCATTCCTGCCCTGCAACACTTGCTCCAGTGAGAGGAGTGGACCGCGGGCATCCGAGACCCTTGCTTACTCTACTATGCTTTCAGGCTACAGCCACCGGCCTGGTTGACCATGGCCCTCTCTGTGGAGACCGAGTCGCACATCTACCGAGCTCTACGCACTGCCTCGGGGGCTGCTGCCCACCTTGTGGCCCTGGGCTTCACCATCTTTGTGGCTGTGCTTGCCAGGCCTGGCTCCAGTAAGTATAATTTATAATTAACTTCTGGGAAGGAAAGTGCCACTTTTCCTGGGAGCAGGGGCAATAGGAAATCTTGGGCCTGACTCCTGGGAAAGGCCTGGCTGGCTGAGGGACATACTGTGCTGGAGGGATAAGTGGGGTGGAGTAGATGAGTTTAGGGGCTCTGCCAGCTTGGCCAGACCCCAGAGTACCTGGCTTCTCTTTCCTTGCCTTGGTGCTCCACTTGGCTGCCTCTTGCAAAGTGCGGTTGGCAGGAGGGAGGGCTGCAAGAGGTGTGGCAAAGCATGGCCTCTCTTATCCAGGAGGGACCAGGAAGAGAGGCTAGGTATGGGGTCAGCTTGTTGCAGCAACGGGGCTCGAATTTTGGCAGCACTTCCTCGGGTGACGCACTACTCATTTTCCCCAACCTGTAGTTAGTGGCGTGGCTGGTTCTTCCTCAGCCTCACAAGGCCTCCTCTTCTCATTCCAGGCCTGTTCTCCTGGCACCCCGTGCTTATGTCTCTGGCTGTAAGTAGTGGGCTGGCCAGCTCTTAGGGGGTGGGAGGGAGCATAGGTGTGGGTGGTAGTCCTGGTGGCCTCCGAATCCTTATGGTTACTTGGTATCTGTTTGGAGGGCTAAGATGTGGGATTGCTGGCATTGCATGCTCTAGGCTGCTGCCCATGGTATATATGTCCCAGAGTTGAACCAGGGTAATCAGGATCCGGGGCAAATGGGTAGGGTTTGTCTAAGCACAAAATTTGAGGCTTTGCCCGCCTCCAGGCAGGAAGCTTAAAAAATGCATTTGGGTGTACCTCTGTCCCTTTTTACCTTAACTTAGGGATACATCTAATTTTCCCTGACACACTGCACCTGCTTGGCCAGCTCTGCCAAGAAATTGTATCCAGTCCTGTGTCAGGGAAACAAAGCTTGTGAATCATTTATAAGTGCCACATCTCAAACCTTGTGTTTACTGGGTAAGAGCAGAGATGTCATTTCAGAACAGCACCTAGGAGGAAGTATGAGGGGTACCTCTCACAGCTTACTCGTGGCAGATGTGCTGTTCCAGGTGGAGTTCTCCATTCCTGCCCCACCAAATGGGTGCTCTTGTCGGTGGGGAGAGAATGGAGGGGAATCTGCCCAGATCGACTGGCAGCTTAAAAGGTTATCTAAATCTCGCTTCCCTTCTGCTGGGCAGCATCCTCATTTCGTTTCCCGTGCCTGTCTCCCCAGTTCTCTTTCCTGATGACCGAAGCACTGCTGGTGTTCTCTCCCGAGAGTTCGCTGCTGCGCTCCCTCTCTCGGAAAGGCCGAGCACGCTGCCACTGGGTACTCCAGCTGCTGGCCCTGCTGTGTGCACTGTTGGGCTTGGGCCTTGTCATCCTCCACAAGGAACAGCTTGGCAAAGCCCACCTGGCCACATGGCATGGGCGCTCCGGGCTGCTAGCTGTGCTGTGGGCGGGGCTGCAGTGCTCAGGTGGGGTGGGGCTCCTCTACCCTAAACTGTTGCCCCGATGGCCCCTGGCCAAGCTCAAGCTGTACCATGCCACTTCTGGGCTAGTGGGCTACCTTCTGGGTAGTGCCAGCCTCTTATTGGGCATGTGCTCACTCTGGTTCACTGCCACAGTCACTGGTGGGGTCTGGTACCTGGCTGTGCTATGCCCTGTCATTACCAGCTTGGTCATCATGAACCAGGTGAGCAATGCCTACCTGTACCGCAAAAGGATTCAGCCGTGAGCTCTTCTCAGCCTCAAAGCCTGGATTTGTCTCTCAGTGTAGGAGCTGTGGCCAGGACCTCCTGGACACTCTCAACTGAGGTCACAGGGACACCTCAGGCACCAGGGTACTCAGGGGTAGGAGGAGTCCTGTGTGTGACATTTGTGCTTGCTCCTCACACTGGAGTGCTGCCTCCTTCCTTCTCTCTCTGCCATCCCAGAGAAGCTCATGGATCATGTGTCTGGATGAAACTGGGGTTGCAAGACTGCCTTCCCAGCAACTCAACTCATACTTGTATTGGTATGTCCAGAAATTACAGGGGAAGAAAAGTAAAATAAAATTTTAAAATGACTGAAAAGACTGGATGGGGTGAATAGCCAAGTTGGGGATAGTTCTCGCTAAGAGGATGCTGGGTACCATGGGGATCCTGTCTCTGGCTGCTCACAGAAGGGCTGAAGCTCTCTAGCACACAAGCCCCCAGGATCTGGCTGCTGAGTATCCCATACCACCCAAAGCCCTGGGAACCCTAGGTACAGCTGTGTGTCCTTTCAGTCTCCCAGCTGTCCTGTGATTAGATCTGGACAATGACAAGACGGGAGCTGGGGATGGGCTGTCTCCATAGGTGTAAAACACTGAGCACTCCATCATGAAGGTGAACCATGGGTAAGAAAATTCCTTGTGATAGAGAAGCCCTCAATCCTCAGGTCCCCTGGGCAGGGCCTCCCCCCTGGGGATAGGAGGGCGAGAGAAATGAGTAAGGGTGTGAGGAGACAGCTCTGCAAAGGGTGCTGGACAGTGAACATGTGGTTGGCAGAGGGGGAGGGGGACAGTGGGCATCTTATCCAGCTGGAGTTGCCATGGGGACTAAGCCCTCAAACCTAAAGTCCCTGTCACAGTTGAGCATGAAGAGGGGGCTGCACAGGTGGTCTGACAGCCCAGGAGTCATACCTCAAAGAACTGCTTTATTGATACTGCACGGCTGGGCTCAGTTGCCCGCTCAAGTGGTCCTGTAGAAAATACCTGGGAGCTGTGGCTATTCTGGCCTAGAAACAGCTGTGGCCACAGCAGAAGGAACCAGAAATCTTGAGGTGAACATAGTCCTTCTGGGGGTGGGCAGGGATATGCAGCCCTGTGCTGGCTCCTGCACTGGCTGGACCCCCCAGAATGTTTTTGGCAAATCCTTGCCTTGGCTCAGGGCTCTCAGCAACCAGTATCAGGGGTGAGGGTTGACCCAGAAGCTGTGGCACCAGTGTCCCTGCAGCCACTTGCTTGGGGCTGCCTGCTGAGGTGCAGTCTTATCTCAGATGGCCTTGGCTGGCTGATGCTTTGGAGGCCCCATGTCTGACATAGTGGTTGTCTGGAGTTGGAACCAGGTAGCAAGAGTCCTGGGTAGTGTTGGCGAGAAATAGCAGAAGGCTGTGGAAACCCCCAGCAGACCATCTTCTCTCTCCTCAGAGTAGCTGAGAAGGTGTCGAGGGGTGGCATGGGAGAGGAGGTACTACACTCAAGATGGTCTGGATTACAGCTTCGGGGAAGCTGCCTCAAAGGTGATCAGGCTGGATTCTGGGGCAGCCCCCTTCCCCGGGAGTGTGGGGACCTTGTCTGAGGGCAGAGGGATGTCCACCTTGGCCCCAGCCTCTTCTTCATCGTCGTCCATGCTTGGCCAGACAGACTGGTCCTCCACTCTCTTCAGTCGCTCATTGAGGGCCTTCAGGGCCAGTTGCCTGGGGCCAGAGGAAAGACAACAGGTCACTCTGGGTCTGGACTTGGCTCATGCCCTATACTCTTCCCCCATGAAGCGGACTCCCCCTACCACTCAGACTCCTCTCTCATAAGAATCTTACATGTTTCCCTTCCCCATGCAGGGCCCAGGGCTCCCCAGGGATTGGATCAGTGCCCACTCTACCATCAGAATAAGGACCTAAAGGCTGTAGAGCCTTTCTTCCCTAGCTGGGGCACATCCAGGCTGAGAAGGCCAATCTGCCACACTGCCCACCACACCAGCCCCAGGAATGGTTCTGAGGGTGGTGCCTAAGGGTGGAGAGAGCTAATACCCCAAGGTAGATGGGTGGAAGGGCAAGTTCCTGGACATACAGTTTCTGCCTGGGACATACGAGTTTCTGCCTGGGCACTGGAACCACTGGAGAGGGTGATTACTTCTCCCCCACTCCTTGTTAGCAGTGTTCTGAGCCTCCTGGTAAGGGTCTGTGGGGAAGGCTGGGACTCAAGCACCTGCTGCCTTGGCTCTTAGCCTGGGAAGCAGGGCCAACTTGGGTCAGCCCATCCCTCCTAACTGATTCTAATATTCTCCTTCCCAGAAGAATCCCCAAAGCCAGCAAGACCTGTGCTAGAGTAGGGACACACTGAGTCCTTGTGGGAAGAGAGGAAGGAGAAACAGCCCACATAGGTAGGGCACAGGCCAAAGCCTACTAGTTGTACTGGCAGATTCTTGGAGACCCCGCTCAGGGGAGGTGGGAAAGTTCACTAGAAGCTATGTATGTGTGCTTGGTACCCTGGCCACCAGGAGGTGGAATGCTACCAGGTAACATCGCCAACAGTGGCCACTGTGGACCCGATGCCTCAACCTTTCTATGCCACCAGCATAGGGGGACAGCCTGTATAGCCTTCCAAGTTCCAGCAGAGAACCAAAATCTCCACTATGCCACGGAAAATTACCGGAGAGGCATGACAGGAGAGGAACATGACATGGGTACAAAAAGCCCCAGCACACTTCCACTCTGTCCTCCAGACTGGCACATGGCAAGTTGGCTCCCATTCTGGAGACTGACTCGTCAGTTCTGTCAAAGGCCTGCTAAGGTAGAGAGTGACTTGCTAGTCATTTCCTCACAAGGGTCAGAGACAGGAAACCCTGTGGTCCACTACTAGTAGCCCTTTGGGTCTGGGAGTGGCATGTAGCCAGATGTCAAAGTGGTTGGAGGAGTAACTCCCATCCCCAAGTAAGCTCACAACCACAAGGCTATGCCAAGAATTGACCACCTGATAACCCCTGCCCCCAACCTGCCTCCACCTGTCCATTTCCTTGGGCCCGAGCAGAGGTGTTTTGAATATCCAAGACCTCTAACAATCCAAGACCTCTCACTGGCAGAGGGGCCACCGCTATGGCCTGGCCCCGCCTGAAGAGCTCTGAGGACAGCTCAGTTTCTACTAGGCCCAGCTGTGCTGGCTCCATCTCCTCCACTGGGTAGGGTTAAGACAGGCCTCGGTTCTTAGGATTCATCAGCTATAGAAACACATATGGTAGGGCCCACAATTATGCCCTGCAGCACCTGCCACCTTGGACCATAATGATCTGTGGCGCTGCCCAGCTGGACACTCCTTCAAGAAAGGGATGTGTCCCACACTCAACTCCACAGCTCCAGTGGAGAGTAAGCACAGGGCTAACTCCAGCTGAATTCATAAAGCTGCCAAGAACCCACTCCACAGGTGAGCAAAAGCAGAAGCCCTTGACAAATGCAGAAAGCAGGAACAGCCTGCTCCAGACTTCACTACTCAAAACTGCCTCAAAAATACCCAAGAATAATGTTGGAAACAGAGCTGTGACCACTCTGGTGAGGCCACAGACC